TCTATTGGCCTTTATTGTTATCAATGAAAAGACAGCTGTTAATGTATTTGGTGTTCATTTATAGGTAATTTAACTTTCCTCTGCAGTTTCTTTTAGGATTTTTCTCATTGCTTTTGTTATTCTGTAGCTTCAATATGACATGCTTAGGTGTGGATTTATTTTTATGTGCCAATTTGAGGCTCCTGAAGGTTTGGAAAGGAGCCCTGGTGATGCAATGGTTAAGCTCTCAGCTGCTAACCAAAAAGTTAGTGGTTTGAAATCACCAGTGGCTCTGTAGGAGAAACAGGAGATCTACTGTCATGAAGATTACAGCCTAGGAAACCCTATGGGGGCAGTTTCCACTCTGTCTTACAGGATCACTATTACTTGGAATAGACTTGACAGCACACATCACCAATAACAACATGCTTCTGTAAGGATACTGAGTGGGATGTGGAAGACGCAGACCCAGCAGTTAGTTGGGGCTCTGTAACCTTCCTGCCGTGGATTTATTAGATGCACATTTTGATATGTGTCTTTGGCTTATCTACACAATGGCATTTTGAAAAAGCATTTTGAATCACTTGATTTATCTTTTTGTCATTATTGTTCATAATAGTTTTCACACAAAAGCAAGAACATGCTTTTAAACTGACCTTTTAAACTTTCTAATGTTCACACCACAAAGGAATACATGAAAGGAACAATAAGCACATTCCCCAATTGTGAGCCTAACAAACCATCTCCTCTGGTGATGGGATCTATGGAAAATGGGCACAACATCTGAGCTGAGTGCTTGCAGCTGACGGGTGGTCTGCTGGGTTGAAGTCTCATGACTGGGAAGAAAGTCCCAGCCACACCCCACCGAGTGGGAACATCACCCTACCCTCTCATTACAGCTCATGGCCACCTGCCTGCCGAGCCAAGAGGACTACTTGGGGAGTTTGGACTTTGCCCTGTGGCACACAGGAAGCTATAGGAGTTTCTGGAGGGGAAAGAAGCATAAAGTAGAGAGAAAAGTACCAAATAGAGGATTTGGAGCAAGCAACCCGGATTTAAGTCCAGGCTCTGGCATACCTGAGTCATGTGACCTTGTGAGAGCTACTCTAGCATTCAGCACCCATTTATGGAGCACTGACTAGGTACTGGGTACCAGGATGCAGAGTAGACAAGATAATCTTGCAGTCTTTTTTCTTCCTTGGTTATAACTCTTACCATGTGTATTAGTTTCTTACTGCTGCTGTAACAAATTACCACAAATGTAGTGGTTTAAAACAATGCAAATATATCCTGCTATGGTTCTGGAGGACAAAAGCCTGAGATTTATACCACTGAGCTGATTCCCTTAGTATCAGCAGGGTTTTGGAGGCTTTAGGGGAGAATCCATTTTCTTTGCTTTTTTCAGTTTCTAGTGGCTGCTTATACTCCTTGGTTTATAATTGTTCCTCCATCTTCAAAACACAACACTGCAATCTCCTCCTTTTCAAATCCCTTTCTGCTTTTATTTTATAAGGATAGTTGTGATTACATTGGGTCCACCTGATAATCCAGGCTAATCTCCCCATCTCAAGATCCTTAATTTAATCACAATTGCCCAGTTCCTTTTGCCATGTAAGGTAACATTTGTAGGTTCCAGGAAATAGAACATGGATATTTTAGGGGACCATTTTTCAACCTAGCTCACCTAGTTATGTTGCAATTTATGTCTGTTCATTTTATATGTCTGGGTCTTCCCTGGGCAGGGAGATAGGCCTTGTAGATAGCTATCACATGTCTTCTGGGTGTTATGGGTTGAATTGTGTCTCCCCTAAAATATATGTTGGAATTCTTATCTTTATACCTATGGATGTGATCCTGTTTAGAAACAGCACTTTCATTATGTTAATGAGGCCATAATCGGTGTAGGGTTCAGCCCACATCTAATCACTTCTGAATTATGAAAAGAGCAAATTAGATAAGAGGAGCAAGCACAAACAGGGGAAGATAGATGTCACGTGAAGATGCCCAAGGAACTGAGGAACACAGGGACTATAGAGTTGAAAGAGACAAGGTTCTTCTCTTAGAGCCGACACAGACCGAGTCTGCCCTTAGAGCTGGTGCCCTAATTTCAAACTTCAAGTGTCCTGATCTGTGAGAAAATAAATGTCTGTTCTTTAAAGCTGCCCACTTGTGTTATTTCGTTCCAGCAGCACTGTATAACTAAGACATTGGAGAGTGAGTGAGTGAGTGAAGAAATGAATGAATGTGTGCTTTGGTGTTGAGGAAGAAAAAGCCGTTCAGTTGGGCTATGAAGGATTATGAGTTTGCCAAATGGTATTTTAAAAACAAACAAACAAACAGAAAAACAAACAAACTCACTGCCACCGAGTCAATTCCGACTCATAGTCACCCCCATCAGGGTTCTGAGGCTGTAAATTCTTATGGAAGTAGATCGCCCTGTCATCCTTCCACAGAAGCAGCTGGTGGGTTTGAACCACCAACCTTCTGGTTAGCAGTCAAATACCTTAGGCACTGCACCACCAGAGCTCCATAATGGTAATCTAGACAGAGTGAATAGTTTATGAAAAAGTACAGAAGAAAAGGCTCAGATATTCCACATGCAGGAAATGCAGGTGGAATGTGAGGACTCGGGGGGAGACAGAATTGGGGCAGTAGGTGGCCAGGGCACAAAAAGCTCTGTAGGGTACCCTAATGGTCCTGGATTTTATTCCCTAAGGAAGACATATATGTGGTGGGTACTCCCATTATCTTTAGAGTCATTGCATGAGTTTAAATTCCAGTGCTGCCACACATGCTGTGTGACCTAGAGAATATTACCAAACCTCTCTGAGACTCAGTGAAATAACTATTTCATAAGACTATTCTGAGAAGCAGATGACAGTTAATGCTTGTAAAGCACCTAGCAAGTACCTGGAACATACCAGAGAGTCAGAAAGTGTTTGATATAGTTATTCCTGTTATTTTCATAAATATTATTCTTGTTATTGCTGCTGCTGCTTCCGACGAGGAATCTTTAAGGAATTTCAGGTGGACAGTGGCATGGTCAGATTTGCCTTTTAACTTTGACAGCCATGTGAAGAAATGGGGTGTAGAGGATGTCACAGTGGAGGCCTCAAATCAGTTAGGAAGCTATTCAAATAATCTAGGTGAGCGGTGGAGACAGTGATGGTTTAGTGGTAGAAGTCATCCAAGAGATGTAGGTTTGATCCCTAGCCAATGTAACCTCAAGCTTGGCCACCACCTATCTGTCAATGGAGGCTTGTGTGCTGTTATGACATTGAGCAGGTTTCAGTGGAGCTTCCAGTCTAGGCTGAACCAGGAAGAAAGGCCTGGCAATCTACTTCTGGAAAATCAGCCAATGAAAACCTTATGGGTCATGATGGTCAATCCCCAACTGATGACACAGATCCCAAGAACATTTAGTTCCACTGACCATGGAGTTGCCATGTGTTAGGGATTGACTCCAGACCAGCTAACAACAAGGAAGAGTGAAGAGGTAGAGAGCAGAGATACAGAACTTGGTACGTAGGTCAAGAGAGATGCTATAGGAAATGAGGTGTTTGCGAGGTATCTTTGTTCCTTCTGTTCCCTGCTTGAAATGGCTCAGAGGGAGAATTTAGAGGCTGTCTCATGTGAATGCCTTGGTCCTTGCTTTCTAGACAGGTGTAGCAAGAGGAAGAACTTTGCCTGAGTCTTCAGAAGAAACAATGACAGAAGAGTAGACAGAGGTAGCACTCAGATCCTCAGCCAGTGCTGCACAGAGGGTGGGAGGTGGGAGAGGTAGCCTGGAGGAGACTTCTTATGAGAGTGGTTTTTCATCATGGGATGGGCCTCTGAGCTGGCCTCCTCACTGATTCCCTGGTACACCCTTCTTCGGCCTTTCCTTACCCTAACTTTTCATTCTAGCTCATTCTCCCATCATGCCTACAAGAACTCCTGTAGAATCCCAGCACAATAGGGGCATAGTTTGGCTTCAAGTTGAACAAAGTGAACTTGACTGAGTAGGGAGGACAAAGGGATATTAGGGCTGCCTGGAACGGACAGACAGAGCACCATGTTCCAGCACCAGGGAAAGAAATCCAGAGTCCAAAAAAGTTCATGTTCAAGGATTTGGTACAGTGTGTCCTACGTGGTCTTCCACTCACAACCCTTCATACATCTTCAAGAGGAAGCCAATTCAATAGCATGTACTATATCAAAATTCTAATTGTTACTTCAATCATATCTTACCCTGCAAGGATGTTGGAGGAAAATATATTTCAATGCCATGTTCAAAAGGGCTGTCATTTTTTTTTTTTTTAAATCATAAGTGGGTTTTCATAGAGTGATGTAATATTGTTTTTAATACATTCTTTTTAAAAAGTCATTTTACTTTAGTTCAGATTCATGCATGCTGGAAGGAAAAAAATCTAAAGGAAGCTAAAATACAGGTAGAACACTTTAAGAAAGTTCTGCATGTGTATATCTGACTTAAAAAATAAGAATTACAGCGCAGTTTTTCAGGCAACAGAAGGATACAAGACAGGTTCTTTGAAATACCTTAGTGGGTTTCAGAGGTTGCTTATAAATGGCTGCTGATAGCTTAATAGAAAGCTGGGAGAAGGAAAAGAGCAACAAAGCAATAGAGGTGAGATTTAAAAATATCTGTGCAATAATTACAAGAACTGGATATATTTGTGTGTGTGCATGTGTGTGTTTCCTGGCAGGACCACAATTACATCAGTAAAATGCACTTGTGTTCAGTTCCTGGCAATATCAAGTAGTATTTACCATCCTGTACTGGCTGGTATGTGTCTTTGTCAGAATACAGGCGTGGAAGGGATCTTGGAGACTATCTACCTGTGGTTCTGAGAGGGAGTGACTGGTACAAGGCCACATACAGAGTAGCAGGGCCAGGACAAGGGAGCACCTGTCTTCCGCCACCCCACCCCCACTCTACCAAGTACTCCTTCCATTCTCTCTGCTCTTTGTAGTTCTTTATCATTCTCCTTTGCTACATTGACATTTTTCTTTTTTTCCAGGAAAAATCAGTTGCCGGTGTCTGACAAGGCTGATGATGAGTCAGGTGTCCTGCAGCTTGGTAGGTGTGGCTGGTGCCTCTGGGTCCCAGAGGATCTTTTTTGGGTCTTGAAGTTGGTGGGTGGTTGGAGACTCTCCACTGGCTGGGAGGGGGTTTCTGTCCTCCCACCTGACCTCAGGAAGGATGACTGACCTAGTGACTAGAACATACGTTATTTTCTTTATTGTTGAAGACATGTCTTATTTCACTGCCTGTCTTTTTCTCCCAGAGAAATCCTTGTAAGAAATCCTGCCATTTCCACACTAGTGTCCAGAGGGGTCTTTTCTGAATTTGGAGGTTTGTTAGGGCCATTTAGAACCTACTAAAATTTCCAGAAGATGGTTCTCAGTCAAAATATTTTAAATACCAGCAAGATCCCCATGGTGGGCAGGCTTCAAGTAGAGCTTCCAAACGGAGACAGAATAGGACAAAAGACCTGATGATTTATTTCCTAAAATTAGCCAGTCAGCTAATGAAAACCCTATGGATCAGAACAGAACCTTGTCTGACTGGACTCAAATGTGCCCATGATCCTGATGATGTGCAGGGAAATGTTTTTTTTTTCTGTTTTAATAGGGTCACCATGAGCTGAAGATGCCTGGACAGCAACTAATAACAAAAACAACAAAATATAAACAGTGAGGTGCAGAAAGTGCACTAATCTTAGGTTTTCTGCTGGGTACATTTCCACCTATATATACATCTGTGTAACTATCTCCTCTTCCCCATCCCTTTATCAAGATATGCAGCATTTCTATCAACTCTTCATTTTGAAGAGATTTTTCTTTCTCTTTCTGTAATTCTTTAGTCCTCGATGACTGATAAGTTTGCAAGGCTTGGCAAAGGTAGCTGAAGACTAGAGAAGGGCAGCCCAGAGATTGAACATGAAAGAATGGGGCTGAGAACCCTCGACTTTTGCTCCTTTCCTGGAAGCTCCGTTTCAGCTGCTGGTAAAGGCAGCAAGTTGCCTCTGGACCATTTTGGCATCAAAGGGCTGTTCACATGCTTTTCCTCTCCCTTTTAAGCACTCTCTTTTAAGCTGACGAAAGAAAGCACTGTTTTTTCCAGAAGTTACTTGCGTGAGACATGCTGTCTGACATTTTGCTTTGATGGGGTTGAAAGGCAGGGGAGGCCTCTGAATGATGGATACAGGGATGTGTTTGTTCTGCTTAGCGCACTTCAGAGGCAGCAGTTCCTCAGGTTCTTTGTCGTCAGAAATGGCTGGTGGGGATGGATCACTTGGTCTACACAGGAAGGGGCAGATTTCTGCACCTGCTGACCCAGTCTGCCTGGTGCAATGACGAGGTGTGGAGCCAGGAAGCACTGGCACCCAGAGCTTTTCTGTAAAGTGCTGCACTTGAAAGTTTTCCAATGAAAGCCACTCCTGTTTGGACACAAACTGAAGGAGTTCCTGGTCTTCAGAACTCAGAAAGCTTCTGTCGGAAGGAAGGCTTTTAGCAATTCCCTCAGAAGCCAACTGTTTGAAGTGTGTCTGTGTGAGAGAGTGTGTGCATCTCTGTGTGTGTGAGTATATGAGTGTGTGTGTGTGTGAAAAATGTATGAGCATGTGAATGCTTATATGGGTGTGTGAATGTATGCATGTGTGTGTCTAAGTATGTGAATGTGTATGTGTCTGTGAGTATCTGAGTATATATGAATGTGTGAGTGTGAATGAGTGGGTGTATGCATGAGTATGTTTGTATGATTGTGTGCATGTGTGCACCACCACACATGCATGTGTGTGTGTGTGTGTGAGCGAGAGAATCTGTTTTCCAGAGGGAGGCAGATCCCTTCTTTTCAAGTGGCTTAGATAAAAATTTAGAAAAGAAAATAAAAGATGAGAGATCATGGTACTCAGTCTCCAAGAGAGTTTATGGAGGAGAGAAAGGAAAGAGAAGTCTTTGGGGTGAAAACAAGGAATACAGTTTGTTGGAGGAACAGCATTCCTGCCCCCAACCCCAGTTCATTTTTCCTTTTTGTTCAGTTTAGTAAACTTTTATGAAAGATTGTGTACTAGGGTATATGCAAGGCTCTGTTACAGACAGAGGTGGATAAAAAGTGACCTTGTCTTCTTGGAGGTCAGGGATGGGTGGGACTGAAGAGGAGAGGAGTCCTTCTGTGGCAGCACAGGGTAGTTCTTTTCTGCTTCCAGAGAGATATATAAACTGAGTCAGGATGGTGATGGTGGTTGGGAAGTCTCCATGGTGAGGCAGCATCTAAGCTGGGCTTTGAAGGATGGACGTGACATTGACAAATCCAGAGCTGTGGGAGAAATAGTGTGGCAGACGCCAGGAGGGTGAGAAGTAGAGATTGGCTGGAGGTGACTAGTCTGGAGTGGAAGGTATGGGGATCAGTAGGAGATAAGGCTGGGAAGGAAGGCTGGGGCAACGTGTGAATGATCTTGAGTGATGTGCTACAGGGTTTGACTGGAAGTCAAGGCAGCAAGAAGCTCCTGAGGATTCTGTGCTGGTGATACCCAAGCTGGGTGTTGGGGGTATCTGTGGATGTGTGCACAGAGCGGATTTTAGGGGAAAAAGCCTGGATCTTGGGAGACTGATGAGGGGCTCTTTGAATAGTCCAGAAAAGAGTTTATGAGGCCCTTTCTACTTGGAGAAGTCCTATGAAAATTTCAAGACCTTGCCAAATACCGTATTTTATAGGAAGCTTGAGGAGTCCCTGGGTGGCACAAACAGTTAAGTGTTTGACTGCTAATTATAAAGGTTGATGGTTTAAACCTATCCAGAGGTGTCTCAGAAGAAAAGGCTGGCATAGCTTCTGAAAAGTCCTAGCCTTGAAAGCCCTGAGGAGCACAGCTCCACTCTGCACAAATGGGGGCTTCCAAGAGTTGAGAAGGCAAGTTTCTGTTGTAATATGTGGGAAGCTTCCCTGATCCTTTAAGGCAGAATTATTTGTCTCTTTCTTTCTAGTCTTAAGCTTTTGTATTAGGCTCTATTTTAGCACCTACTATAATTATTTGGGGAGCTCTGGTAGCATAGTGCCTAAGGCACTTGACTGCTAACCAGAAAGCCGGAGGTTCAAACCCATCAGCCACTCCTCGGAAGGAAGATGGGGCAATCTACTTCCGTAGTGATACTGCCTTGGAAACCCAAGGAGAGGTCGCTATAAGTCAGGTCCGACTAGACAGCACATAACAACAATAACATAATTATTTTGGGGCTATGTTTCCCCCTCTAGGCAGTGGACTTCTGGAGGGCAGAGGTGGTGTCTTGATCATCTCTGGACCTCCTCTGCTTCTGGCATATCATGAGCTCAATAAAGTGCTTGATGAACAAGGAGAAAAATAATGACAGTGGAGAAAGACAAGGAGGGGCAAGATATGAGACATTCTGGAAGCAGAATAATCTAGTGGTGGGAGAGGACAGAGGTTTCAGCTTAAGTTATTGGTGGGGTGGAGGGAGAGACGGAGACTTCTATCAAAACTAGAAGCTTGGAGGGAGTGCTGGTCTTAGGTTCTTGAGTTTCCAGTGTTGGGGCACTTCCAGAAAAACATACACAGGTAGTCCCCGACTTATGATGTATTCACGTTAGGGAGAATCACACTTACCACTGACCTTTTTTTTTTTTCAACATCTTATTATTAGTAATACGCACTACACACAATGTATTGCTGATGTTATCATTCTCATGCCAATCCCCAAAGACAAATAAAGATTGGATTTACAAAGATACAGACAATAAAAAGCAATAATAATGAAGCTAAAAAAAAAAAAAAAAAGAGGTATTTAACTTCCGTCAGAATAACTTTTAATGGAGTCATGGGAATGGAACCCTGTCTTGAGTTGGAGACTACCTATAGTCAATGGGAAACACTGAGCAGGCTTCTGGAAAAGAGCTGGGGGCCGCTCTCCCTACAGGACCCGTAGAATGAACATCATTCCCCTATGTGATTTAATCTCTCTCTTAAAATGAAATGTAATTACAGTATGTATTTTTCTTCCTACAAATGCTAAATAAAATGGTATGGGAAACAAAACCCCTTGCTTCTTTTCAACCAGACATTTATAACAGGGCTTTAAAAATAACATTCTCAAACCACTGGCATTTGCAGCTTGTTTTGTCTGCTTGGCCAACTTGTCATTCTGGAGTGTTTTGTTTTTTCCTTGCACGGTGGTCAGTCCCGCCACATTGGGGCCTGAGGCCTGCTATATAGTCCTGAACCAACTCCCTACACTGGACCAACCTCCTGCTGGCAGAAGCCAAGGGAAGACCACCTTCTCCTGGGACTCATTCTGGCACAGCCCCTGTGGTCTACTTCCTCAGCCAGAACCTCAGCCTGGCTCCTTCCCTGACAACCTCAGATTAAACAGAAGCCTCCAAATAAGTTTAAACACCACTCCTTCTGTGCGTCCGGGAAGTAGTCTGGCCAATGACATTGGAAGGGAGCCTTTGATATGGAAAACAGTATGGTGCTTCCTTGAAAAGCTGGAAATGGAAATACCATATGATCCATCAATCCAACTACTAGGTATATATTCTAGAGAAATAAGAGCCTTGACACGGACAGATATATGGACACCCATGTTCATCACAGCACTATTCACAGTAGCAAAAAGATGGAAACAACTTAAACAACAGAGGAATGGATCAACAAACTGTAGTACATGCACACAATAGAATACTAAGCAATGTTAAAGAATAACGATGAATCTGTCAAACATCTTATAACATGGATAAACCTAGAGGACATTATGGTAAGTGAAAGTAGTCAATCAGAGAAGGATAAATACTGTATGAGACCACTATTGTAAAAAGCCAAAATAAGGGTTTCACACAAAAAGAAATATTTTTTGATTGTTACCACAGTGGGAGGGAAGGGAGGGTAAACCACTAACTAGTGGGTAAACCCACTGTCATGAATTTAATTCCAACTCACAGCAACCCCCATTGAGTTTCCGAGGTGGTATCACTATGGAAGTAGGTTGCCCAACCTTCCTTCCACGGAGTGGTTGGTGGCTTTGAACCACCAACCTTCTGGTTAGAAGTCAAATGCCTTAGTCACTACGCCACCAGAGCTCCCTAGTGGGTAGACACATATTAACTTGGGTGAAGGGGAAGGCAAAAAAAAAAAAAAAAAAGAAGAAGAAGAAAGAAAGAAAGAAAAAGAGCCCTGCAGGGAGGGCCTTGTGTAATCAGAATGCCTTCCCCACTTTGTTCTGGGCTTCAGGTGCAGAAGATTGAATTAATTACATTTCTCTGCTCTTTGAACATTCTCAGCAGTGGTCTTTGCAAAGCCTGCCCATTGGCTACCCTCTCTCACTTCCTTCCTTTCATCCTTCTTTTCTTCAGCCCTCCCCCTTCCTTTCTTCCTTGTTTTCCTCCTTTCTCTCTTTTTGCTTCACTAACTTCCCTCCTTCCCTTCCTTCTTTTCTCCATCCATCTCTTTGTTCCTTTTCTCCCTCCTTCCCATCTTTCCCCATTTCTTTTTAATCCCCACTTTCCCATGCCCCTTCTCCCATTGCAAAATGTGCAGTCTTGTTTTCTGTGCATGTATTTTTAATTTATGCAAACGGCACTGTGCTTTCTGTCTCCCTCTCTCTCCCATCCCTGTGCTTTTTCAGATCCATGCATGCTGCTGGGTGAATATCTGGTCTTTATTTCAGGCTACTTTCTGTAGGCCATGGTGGCAGGGTGGCTTTTTCTGAGACCCTAAACCAGCAGAGTTCTCATTTAAAGTCAAATTCTCCTGGCAATTGCACATTTAGCTTTCTTTTTTATTTCAGTCCAAGGTGGACTCTGCCTCCTTATGCAGTGTACTGTGGCTCTAAGAGTTTCCTTGCCCTGTGCCTGGCTCTTCCCCAGGGGAGGAAAGAAGTCCAGAGAATAATAAGATGTAAGATGTGTATCCTGGGATGTTGGCCTTTTCATACCCATGCCTTTGCCCCCACCCAGACAGATGGATCCTGGCAGAGCCTTCCCCAGGGAGCTGGCTTCACAGAGTGAAGGCTTTGCCAGCATCACAGTTTGGAATTGTTTTTACTTGTGTCCTTTATGTCCTTATCTGAGTGTTCTGGTAAATGCAGAAGCAGCAGGTGTAATGGTGGGAGGGCATCTCAGCCTGCTGGGAAGGTAGGGTCTGGAGCTGCCGAAGTCTGGACCCTCTCTGCGTCTCGTCCCCTCAACCGTAAGACGTCTGTATCCAAATATGGTTAGTGTTCCTTGTGCCTGGAGCTCCAGGGGAGACAGGAGGGCAGAGTGATTAGGAGTCGACCTGGGTTTATATCCTGTTGTCTTGGTTACCCAGTGCTGCCATAACAAAAATACCACAAATGGGTGGCTTTAAAGAACAGAAATTAATTTTCTCACAGTTCTGGAGGCTAAAAGTCCAAACTAGAGCCTCAGCCATGTTGATTCCTTCCATGAGCCTGTCTCCTAGTTTCTGGTGTCAGTCGGCAATTCTTTGTGTTCCTTTGCTTGTTGATAGGTCTTTGCATGGTGTCTGTCTTCCCCTCATGTGTGAGCATCTGTATCTGTTCTGCTGTTTTATTAAGACAGAAGTGATCAGGTTTAGGACCCTCCCTAGTCTGGTCTGACCTCATTAGCATAACACAAACCTTGTTTCCAAACAGGGTCATATTTATGGAGGATGCAATTCAACCCATAACATCTGTGCCTTCACCACTATCCATCTGTGTGGCTTTGAGCCAGTTACTTCTTTTAGCCTCAGTTTCCTTATTAGCAGTAATTAAAAAAAAAAAAAAAAAGAAATTGTCAAATCAATTGTGACTCATGGAGAGTCTATGTGTTATAGAGTACAACTTCTCCATAGGGTTTTCTTTGCTATAATCTTTAAGGAGCAGGTAGTCAAATCTTTCTAACCCAAGGTACCCCTGGGTGGGTTGGAACAACCAACCTTTAGGTTAGTAACCAAACCAAACTCACTGCCATCAAGTTGGATCTGACTCATAGTCATTCTTGAGTTTCTGAGGGAGTATCACTACAGAAGTAGATTGCCCAATCTTCCTTCCAAGGAGTGGCTCATGGGTTTGAACCACCAGCCTTCTGGTTAGCAGTTAAATGCCTTAGGCAATATACCACCAGCGCTCCTAGTCAATTGCAAACTGATTGTTCCACCCAGGGACCTTTCATTTGTAGTAGGGAGGTAATAATAAATACTTCAGAGAGCTGTTAAGGGACTTAGATGATAAAATCCAAGTAGTCAATAAATGCAAGTTATAATAGTGATAACCTGTTATATTAAGCTACTATCATTATCAGGAATGGTGGCATTTTTCCTAATTTTGCCTTCTTCATGTTTGTCCTCAGAGGAACAGATTTGTGGGTTATGCTTGCCTTTCTAAGAAATGTGACTTTTCTGGGTCTGGCTCAGTAGGCCCTGGGCACTTGCTTCACTGCCTGTCCACATACAGAACTTTCTAGTGGATCAGCAGTTACCACCCACCTGCAGCATCCTCGTGTCACAAGCCAGGGTGGGGTTGTGTCAACCAGCAAGTTCTTTCTCCTTCTGTGTGCTTTCCTTCTGAAGGAGGTTTGGGAGGTCCACAGTGGAGGGTGGGATGGATGGTGTAGGAGCCTCCTTTCATTCAAATCTCTCTGAATGTATCAGTGTTCATGGTGTTAAATGACTCCAGTTCTCTATGAATTATAACAAGGGTGCTTACACATCATCGTTTTCTTTCAGAGGATGTGGAGGATGAATTGCTAAGGGAAGAAGTCATCCTGCCCCCAGCACCATCAATGTTCAAACTGCAAACGGTGTCAAAACCAATCAACCTTTTAGTAGCAAAGGTAGGTACCACCAACTTTCAGAGCCTCACTGGAATTCCATGTCAAATGCATTTTGATTTGGATTGGAGTGGATGATGTGATTTTGACCCTTCTGGTCCCAATCCTTCTCATTGTAATCCCTCCAACCTGATTCTGACTCACTGTGACCCTATAGGACAGAGTAGAACTGCCCTAGAGGGTTTCCAAGGCTGTACATCTTTATAGAAGCAGACTGCCTCATCCTTCTATGGAGTGGCTGATAGGTTCAAACTCCTGACCTTTTTGGTTAGCAGCCAAATACTTTAACCACTGTGCCACCAGAGCTCCTTTGGTAATCTCTCAGTCATTGTTAAATGGAAATTTGGGAGTGATGTAGAAGAAAACCTGAATTCAGAATCAGGAAAACTGTGGGCTAGTCCTAGCTTTCAGTCCCTTCCCTTTCCTGAAACAAAGGTGTGGGAAGGGTTGTGCCCTCCAAGTCCAACTTATAGTCCTTCCTTGCCCCAGAGCTTCTTTTCCATATGCCTCATGGGCAACTCCAGAGTTGTACTAGGAACAGGATGCTTGTCCTTATTGGACAGCTCCTGTATTAATCTCCTAAACTAGTCTCTGGCTGAGTTGCTGGGAGGGAAGGACACAGAGGTGTTAATGATTCATCATTTCCAGGCAGGTTCACACCCATGGCCTCCTGCAGGGATCCACGGTCACAGGAGGCAGGGGGCAGGTTCCTGGCCTCAGCAGCCTCCTCTGCAGGAATGTTCTGGATTTCTCACTATCTTCAGCTGCCAGGATGGCCTCACCATTTCCCCTCAGCCAGCAGTTCCTGCAGCAGGCAATGTGCTCCTGCTGTCCCCCACTGACCTCTCAGCCAGGATCCAGGAGGGAAAAACAAAACTCCTGGGGACACAGCTGACCCCTTTATCTTCCCACTTACTGAGTATTTACTTTGTAAATCAAAGAGTAGGTTCCTTCCCTTTTCCTTATCTCTCCTCTCTTCCCCTCCATTCTTCTCTCTTTTCTTCTCCTTTCCTTTCCTTCATTTCCCCCCCCCCCCCCCCCAAATCCCAGAGTGTTAGACAATAGCAACAACAACAAACCAAACCCACTGCCATCGAGTCAATTCTGACTCATAATGACCCTATAGGATATAGGACAGAATAGGACTGCCCCATAGAGTTTCCAAGTCTATAAATCTTTAGGGAAGCAGACTACTTCATCTTTTTCCCACAGAGCAGCTGGTAGGTTTGAACCACTGGCCTTTTGCTTAGCAGCTGAATGCTTTAACCACTACACCACCAGAGCTGCTTCCCAGAGGGTTGTTGTTGTTATGTGCTATTTTGAGTCGTTCCCGACTCATAGTGACCCCTCCTTGGGTTTCCGAGGCAGTATCACTACTGAAGTAGGATTGCCCAACCTTCCTTCTGAAGAGTGGCTGGTGGGTTTGAACAGCCAGCCTTCTGGTTAGTAGTCAAGTGCCTTAGGCACTATGCTACCAGAGCTCCTGGAAAAGGTCCTTAGAGGTCTTTAAAGACCATCAGCAGCTTCTCCAAAAGCAGCCGACAAAGCTGAGGTCCGTGGAGAGAAAATGAGGGCACAGATGTCCAAGGAGAGGAGAACTCAGGTGTCTGGGCCTTGCAACCCTGGATGCTATGAGCCACTCTGCCTACCTGGGAGCTGTCATTCTGCAATTGAGAGAACAGAGACAGGGACTGACCAGAACACTCAAGTCTTGATTGTTTATAGGCTCTTGGGAAACTCAGTTCAAACACAGGTATGATTGTAGTTGGTTGTCACAAGAAGGGGAATTGAGCCCTGGTGGAGGAATTCACATGTCCTTTTTCTGTGTGCAACTAGCCCATGTTGGGTGTCACAGACCCAAATGCTCTATTATGGAGATTTTCCTTAATGAAAAGAAGGACTGATCCCATTGAAAAATAATCTGATCTGTAGGAAAGGCCTGACCACCTCTAAGGGAGGTGGCTACAGAGTCCACCTGTTGGTCCTAGGGTCTACTCAAGGCTTCAGAGGCCCCTTGGATATCAAATCATGGCAGAGAGGAAGACAGTGACCTGCACAGGGAGGAACCTACCTGGAAGAATTGTGGGAGAGGCACTCTCTCCCCATCCCACAGGCTTGATTGTGTTTGTGGGGCTCTGGAAGGGTTGCTTGGGTGATGGCAGACAAACAGTGAGCTCATCATCAGCCAAAAGTTTAGACAGAGCTGTGAAAAATGGAGGAGTGACCATGGGAAGGGAGTCTCTGAGCGGTGCAAACAATTTTCTGATGGTTCTAGTCCACCCTTACTTGCCTCAGAAGAAAGTTCTGGCTGGCTGTTTCTGAAAAATCAACAAATGAAAACTCTATGGAGCACAGTTCTACTCTGACACACATGGAGTTTCTTTGAGTCAGAATTGACTCAGTGGCAACAGGTTACCTTGGGAAGTGGTGGGGCCCCTTCGCTGAGTGGATGGCGTGTTTAAGCAGAGATTGTGGGGGGCCACTCACAAATGATGTCCTAGAGGGGATTCCTTCACATGGTAAGCAGTTGGATGCTTTTCCTGTTAAGGGCCACATAGTGTATTTCTGGCTTTCTGGCCCATATAATCTCTAAACATGACATATGGACATATATAAGACATATACAACATATAGAAGCCATACCTAAATCACTCACTGCCATTGAGTTAGTTATGACTCACAGTGACACTATAGGACAGGTAGAGCTGTCCCATAGAGTTTCTAAGGCTGTAAATCTTTATGGAAGCAGACTCCCATGTCTCTCTCCTGAAGAGTGGTTGGTAGGTTTGAACTACCAACCTTTAAGTTAGCAGCCAAGCACTTATTCACTGAACCACCAGGGCTCCTTAAACAGCTATAGACAATACATAAATGAATGGGCATAGGAATGTTCCAATAAAACTCTATTCACTAAAACAGGCGGTGTGGGGTGGTGTGAATTTGGTCTTGGGGCTGTAGTTTGCTGACCTTGCACTAGAATACTGATTCTCAAACTTGGCTGCACATTAAACTCATATATGGGAGCTTTAAAACATACTGATAGTGGAATCTTACCCCAAGGATTCTGATTTAACTGACCTGGCGTGTGGCCTGAGTGTTGGGAAGTTTAAGAGTGATTCTAATATGTAGTCAAGTTTGAAAACCTCCCGTCCTTCCTGTTGGGTGTGAGAGGACCTTCAAGGTCCTTCATAAAATTAAAATTTTGTGTCTCAAAATCCTTGTAAGGAGCTGAAAAAGATTTTGACCTGGATTAGCACAGGTTTGGTTTGGTTTACAGATGTGCCAGAAGTAAGACTCCCAGGGACCAGTTTCTCTTTCTTTAAACAGGAGAAGAATGGGTTTACTAAATAAATAAATAAATAATGGAGAATCCTGCTAAAAAATTCACTGCCCTGTGAGTCCTCAAGACCAATTACTGTGGGGATATGTACACTAGCATAGTATAATTTGCTTTAAAAATAACCAATAACATGCTTGCTTCTATTTATAGGAACTAAAGACCCTTCTGTTTGGTTCAAGCTTTTGCTGTTTCAATGAAGAATGGAAACTTCAGAGTTTTTCCTTTAATGACACTGCTTCTTTAAAATATGGCATTGTGCAGAACAAGGCAGGTGGTTTTGAAGTTTCCCAGGGACCTTTCTGCTGGGCCTATCATGGGTAGGCGTGGGACGTGTCCAAGTTTGGTAAATCCCTGAAGCATTAACTGGGCTGTCTAGTGCCTGGAAGCCTCACTTCTGCTGAGCTGTCACCTGGGAACTTCATGTGTGGTTGGTAGAATACGAGCTAGGGAAAACAGCATTTTGCTTTGGAGATTTTCAAATTGAATACACTTTAAGAGTATTTCCTGTGAGTGGTGTGTGATAGTGGGATCCTCAATGAGAGGGATCAGAAGGAAGCACTGAGTCTGGCTGGGGCACTGACAAGGCCTCCATTGAGCACTGAGAAAATGTGCAAGGATTTTTCAGGAAGAGGTGGGAAAAGGGCATTCCAGGTAGCAGGGCAGCATGGACAAAGGTCAGGTTGTGTGTGGAGGAGCCTCAGGAAAAGGCAAAAGTATCAAGTATGTGGAGCAGAAGATGCACAGAGGAGGGTGCAATATAGGACAGGGAAACAGAGGTGTGGGCTAGATTGTGGTGGGCTTTGAAAGCCAAAATTTTAACATGGCTTATACACATTTCACAAGATAAACTTAGTAAGGACCAGAAAATACTCCAAGTCCAGCATCAAAAACTAGTGGGTAGAGCAGGCTAGCTCAACCAGAGTCCATTTCTCAAGACTCAGGAAATTCCTGCTCCCCTGCCTCACATTGTCTGGGGAAGAGCTCAAGACCACTATCTTCTGTCCTACCCTAGCTCAGCCAAACTCAACACATCTTGCACCCCCACGAAGGGCACCCATCCCCACTGCTCTGAGAATCTTTGTACCTCATTGGGGGCAATTAGGGCTATTCAGTCTCACTGTCCATTGCTGATGTTTCCTGCATGCCAGACCCTATGCTAAGCCATGTGATGCCTACAGAGAGAAGCTCCTCATGGAGACTTCACACTGCAAGGTGGAGGGGACAGAGGGACACATAATGGGGTCCTGAGGCAAGGTGTGATGAGGGCAGAAGAGAGCTCACATAAGTGGAAGCTGCCAAAGGGGTTCACCTCCAGCTCTGTTGGCTGGGAGAGCTTCCTGGATGAGAAGGCATTTAGGATAGACCATCAAGCTTGGGTAGATGATTGACACCTTTGACTTGAGGACAGGAAACACTTCCCTGGATGACTGGAAACCTACAGTGATGTCCCTGGCTTCACACCTGACTTGTTGTGGAGAGTCACTTTCCTCCCATAAGACTTTGCAGACTTGCTCCTTCCTCTAGTGATGGGTGCAGGGGCCCTTGCCTTCCCCTCTTCTGGTCCTGTCTGGTCAGTGTTTTGTAGGAGTTGTCACATGGCACAGACACCTGGTTTTACAGGGAATGGCTTGGCAGCTGGGTGTCCTGTAACTTGTGGGTGGGAGGTGGTTCTGGGAACAGAGAGCTCTGTCCTGGGCTGGTTCTCACTGGCAGTAACTGTGTCATTCTTTGTAGGGTGGTCCCTGTGGGGTTCTGGCGGCAGTCCAAGGCTATGTCCTAAAAAGGCTCCTGTTTGAAGGAGATAGCAGAGCTGATTCTACTCGGTAAGTCTGCTGCTCATTCCAGCAGTTTCTCCTTTTCCCAAGGCTTCTCCAGAGTGTCCAGAAAAAACAAGCAAGGAAACACGTGCATTCTCTGACATTTCCTGTTTTTTGGGTGTAAAGAAGGTCCCTGGGTGGTGTAAAGAGTTTACACTCAGCTACTAACCTAAAGGCTGGCAGTTTGAACCCACTCAGAAGTACTGTGATCTGCTTCCATAAAGATTACAGTCATGAAAACCCTATGAAGCAGGTCTACTCTATAACATGTGGGGCTGCCAAGAGTCAAAATTGATTTGATGGCAATGGATGTTTTTTTGTTTGTTTATTTTTTGATTTTGGGGGGGCATAAAGTAAGGAAGGGATATAGTGGCTGGCTAACAGGGCCTGCACGGACCAGTATGAGATGGACTTTTATGCATTTGTTTCTAGAAGCAGAGAGGATGGGAATGCCATGTTCCATGTGGTGGCTTCTGGAATGGAGTCAAAATCAAGCCCAATCCCTCCTCTTCTATTGGAGACAGCAGCTTCCCTAGTCCTTTCCACGACCACATTGACCTGTTGACTGACTAAGTCCAGATCTTCCCACTCTCCCATGTTACCTCATCTCTTCTAACACCCATAATTGCACATTCTAGCCAGCGCCACAGTAAATTTCTTCCAGTCCCTTAGGCCATGTATTTTGCATTTTGCACATGAAGTGTTTGCACATCGCAACTCATTCATTCAGCAGTCATTTCTGGAACATCTTGGTAGGCAAAGTAGTACAAAGCAGAAGAAGGTACATTCATTATTCTCCAGAAAGACTGTGAGGGAGAGGCAGAAAAAAAACTATACTATACACCATGGTTGGTGCTGGGTAGGAAGATTGACAAAGTCCTGGAGGAAAGAGGCTGTTCAGGTGACCTTCTGACCTTTTCCTCCCTGGGTGCCAATAACCAGCTTGTTCTGAGTCATCCTCAGTGCTAGAGAACTTCTGGCACCTTCTGGCTTTTTTTTTTTTTTTTTTCTGATGGAAAGATAACAGACAGACAGACAAGTATACAGAACTGTGTTCTGTTCAGTGAATTATCACAAAATCACATACTCGTGAAAATATCACACAGATCAAAAAGAAGCTATTTCCAGCAACTCAGAAGAATCTTCTTGCTCCTGCCCAGTAGATAACCCCACTGTCCTCAGGAAGGTAATAATTAACTGGATTTCTGATGGCTTGGTGCCTAAGGCATTTGACTGCTAACCAGAAGTCTGGCAGTTCAAATGCACCAGCCACTCCTCAGAAGGAAGATTGGGCAATCTACTTCTGTAGAGGTACCACCTCGGAAACCCAAGGAGGGGTTGCTATGAGTCGGAATTGGCTTGACGACAGTGAGTTTATTTTATTTTATTTTTTATAACTGTTACTTGAAGTCCCTGGGCAATGTGATGATTAAACTGCTTGTTAACTGAAAGTTTGGAGGTTTGAGTCCAACCAGAGGCACCCTGGAAGAAAGGCCTGGAGATATATTTGTGAAAAATTCAGCTACTGAAAATCCTATGGATGCAGTTTTCCTTTGACCCACAGGGGATCACCACGAGTAGGAATTGACTCAGTGACAACTGGTTTTTTGTTTTATTTTTAGAACCATAGCTTACTTTTTCTAGTTCTAGACTTTTATTTAAAGGCATTTTTCCTTCGAAATAAGCATTTCAGAGACTTAATTTTTTTTTTTTTTTTTTAAGCATGGATGTTATAAAAACAAGAAGACTCATTCCCTATTTATTCAGGGTTCAGATTCCTGGGAGAGACACTGGCTCCCCAGACACTTAGCCAAGCTCTGTTCTCCAATAAAACACATTCCATCAGCATAGTTGCTTTTGCATTAGACCCCAGTTAAAGATAGTTTTCCATGTTTAGTATCTTGTAATTTCTCTTATAGTCTTGCAAAGTAATAATCAACATGTTTTCTCCCAATCTGAAAGATGCTAACAAGACCCTTTTATTTGCACAGCAACATGACATATCCACAGCAAGAGAAAGATCTCACCTTGACCTTGTTCTTCTTTCTTCTTACCCCCTGAATCCACCCATGTCGCTTCTTGTCTGTACTGGACCATTCTCCACTGTCTGCTCTGGAAGTTGAGCCCAGCAAAGTGCTGGGAGGTTTGAATGTAATGTCATGGGCAAAGAGAAATCTTATCAAGGTTCAGAGAGTTCAAGTTCTAGTACCGTGTTTAAGTACAGGGACCTTCTCTGAGCACATATGTACCTACCTACCTCACGTCTTTCCTTCCTTTGGAAACAAAAAGCATACTCACTAATGCTGGGGTAGGGATACAGGCTGAACAAGACAGGCATAGCCTTGCCCTCATCACATTTATAGTCGAGTAGGAGAGCCAGAAAAATAAACAGGAGATGACGGGGAACATGCAGGATGCTAAGGGATCACTCGGATGTGAAAGGGGTCAGGAAGGCTTCCTGGAGAAGTAACATTTTAATCTCACTGAGATCTGAAGGATGAGCAGAATTCTAGATTCTCCCTCCTTCTTATAAGTATATGGCCCTTGCTGTTCCTCCCTCTCCCTCAATTTTCCCTTTCCCAGCAGAGAGCCCCGAATTCCTTCCCTGATCCCCAAGATCCTATGAATTCAGGAGCTTTGCCCGACTGGCTCCTCTCATGGCACAGGTCTCTGCTCTTCAGCGAGGTCTGCCTACTTAATGCCAACCCTGCCCCTGCTTCTAAGGACTTTTTCTATTGCCTTTAATGCTCTTGGTTCTCAATGTATTTACCTGTCCATTATCTGCCTCTACCCATTAGGACGTAACCTCTATGAGAACAGTGATCTCATTGGGCCTCCTGGTTCACAGCTGTATCCCTGGCCTTCTGCCCCTGGCCTTGTACACACAACAGACCCGCAGAATTTTTGTTGAATGAACACATGGGCAGATGAATGAGTTATCCAGACAAACAGGGATGGGAGGCGGGCTTGGCATTCCAATAAGTAAGGAGAAAAACATGTGCAAAGGCCTGAGGGCTGGGAGAGCAGGAGAAGGGAGGTGGAGGAACCTGGTGTAGCTGGGGCAAAGATTGGAGGGGCAGGGAGGGATACGGGCAAGCAGCAGGTCAAGGCCAGGCTACCAGAGGGCCTCAACCTTTGGCCTTAGGGAAAGTATCTCATGATTCATTTCAGCCCAAATACCCTCTTACAGCTGCTTTTGAGCTTCAATTTTGGACTTCCTGGGGGATGTCGGGGAACATTTCCCAACCAGCAGGATGGAGCATTGGTTCCAGGAAGGCAGGTTCTGCCCAGGGCCTGAGTGAGCTTGGTTTCTCGTCCAGCACCCCCACCTCCACTGAGGGGTGCTGAAAGCTTCTGTGTTCTGTAAGCATCTCCCCGGAGGCAGAGCTCTGTGTCTGCACCAGAGAGGGGGCCCTGGCTTGGAAAGGCAGACACCCATCTAGTTTTGGGGCCCAAGGGGGATCTGGGTAGAAAGAAAACTGGGCTCCGCTACAGGAAGTGAGGTTCTCCTCCCCACCCTGCCCCCTAATGCCGTCAGTCAGGCACCTACCAAGTGTTGACTGAGGCGCCAATCTCTGTTAACAAGTGTCTATGTTTAAGCACTTACAAGGGAGCTCTGGTAGCGTAGTGGCTAAAGCACTTGACTGCTAACCAGAAGGCTGGCGGTTCAAACCCACCAGCCACTCCTCGGAAGGAAGATGGGGCAATCTACTCCGTAGTGATACTGCCTCGGAAACCCAAGGAGGGCTCGCTGTGAGTTGGGTCCGACTCAGCGGCACATAACAACAACAGCAACAGGCAGACAGGTCAGCCAAGGCTCTGCTGGGGGAGGGGGAGAGGAAGAGGTACTGCAGGTTTAGTCCTCAAGGCTCCCAATCTGCTGAGAGCTTGAGAGAGGAGCTGGTACTAGACTGGATTGAAGGCCCTTGAGGCAGGGTCCCTATGTGGTTGCAGGTGGAGGAGGTTGCTGAGCTGGTCCTGAAGGCAAAGGGGTGGGCAGGGGAAGAAGAAGGGAGGAGGAGCTGCTGGCCAGCTGGGATCTATGTGTGGGATGAATCTGGTAAGAACAAGCTTGATTATGGGTAGACACGGCCTGGCTGGAGCAGAGTTGGCCAGTTCTGGTCAGCCAGGAGAGCTGCATTTGGTGGTCAGGGCTGCCTTCTCCATGAAGCCTTTCTGGATTTCATTCTGTAAAGGCATGACCTCACCTATCATTGGAGCCCTCCCCCCCAACTCTGAGTAAAAAGCAGTTGCCCTCTAGTCAACTCTGACTCATGGTGAACCATTTGTGTTAATGTATAACCGTGCTCCACAGGGTTTTCAATAACTGATTTTTCAGAAACAGATTGCCAGCCAGGCCTTTCCTCTAAGGTGCCTGTGCATGGACTCAAATTGCCAACCTTCTGGTTAGCGGCCAAATGCATTAACCATTTGTACTCTGGGTACTGTTTATAATTCTCTCCAGCCTCACTGCCCCCAGGCCAAGCACACAGTGGGTGGTGTATAGTAGGCCAGTTTCCTGCTACCACAAGCTGCAGGTCCATGGGTGCCCTCGGCTGAGGTCATTGGCTGCTATCTTGGGGCTAGGCCCAAGAGTTGAAAGGAAGGATGGAGAGTTTGACTCAGATGCCAGGGGTTTCTCATCCATCCAGGGCTGCTGGAATACCCTGAGGGGATCCAGGAAGAGGGGGCTCTGATAAGCACAGCCTAGGGGAGGCCCTAGAGACTGCCTCCCCTGACCCCAGTGAGGACTTTGCTCTTCCTGATGGTGATGGGCAGGCCCATCTGGGGCAGGGGCACCAGGTTCCCTCCACACCCTCCTCACTTCTCCCATATGTCCTTCTCATATTTCCCTTGCCCTGGGCCTGAGACTTGGGAGGTTGTGGATGCCTCAGGGACTGGAGGCAGACTGGGAGTTGAAGGGGAGACCCTCTTCTGTAGATATTAGGACATAGGTCAAACAAAGGCTGTGAGAGTGACTGGAGCTGCCAGAGGTAGGGAGGTGA